AAAACGTTTTTAAAAAGTCTCAGAGAGGAGAGCGTCCAGTAAAATCTGCTACATCACCGTGCAGCTGTTTTATTACTGCGCAAATGAAGATAAATTCGTATTTTTTCATCTGAATTGTCGGCTGCTAGATCAGGTTCTGGTTTCAAGGTTTCATCAAGTCTTTGTTTTTACCCCATTGTCTCTGCGGATGGTTCGTGTAAAAATAGATCTCCAAAGCTGAAAACCTAATCAGATTTTGAAACTGCAGTTTGAATGACTGCAATTATGAAATTACCAAAGGGTGCAATTATTATCAACGGTCTCAGGCAGAAAAGTACAGTTCGACGTTTAGTTTCAAAAGCTTTAATCTCTCTTCAAACCTGTTAGAAATGTTATTTAAGGGAAAGTTGAACTAGCAAGTCAGAACTGCTCATTCTTTTGAACCTGTGATCAGAAGTGGATTGCCCATTTACTTAAGTACAAGATCTCGTAAGATAAAATTGCCAGATCGTGCAGACATGTGGAAATTGATCTTGTGACATTGTTTTACATTTAGTTTTACATCTAGATTGGACAAAAAGAGTTAAGGGCTGGTAAATGACATCGCTTGTGGAGCTCTGGTTCCAAAAAGAAGGTCTACTACTACAGCAAACATATTTATATTTATTTTATTTTATTTTACCATATTTTCTGGGCTATTAGACGCGCTCTTAAGCCTCTAACCCCATCGAAAAATTACCATGCGCCCTGTACACGAATCCACTCGGATGTCCCAACACGACTTCAGTAAACTACAAAGCCGCAAACACACACGGAGCAGACAGCGACCGCACAGCGAAAAACACCCACAGACACACTCATCACCCCACGCCGACGAGGAACGGAACGGAGGAACGAACCGAAAAAGCAGAGAGTGCAATGTGCCACTTCTAGACACGACTGAACAACTGAGTCACTGCGAACACGTCGACAATCCGCTGGTCCCAGACAGCACCCTCCCTACACGCCACAACTGAACAAAGCCCAGAGTCACCGTGAACACCACAAACAAACAAAACCACTCACCCATCACACTGTTGTGTTTACTTTTAAAGTCCGGTGCGGTATATTTGTGAAAAAAGTTTGAAAATAGACCATTTAATGACAGTGCGCCTTATAATCCAGAGCGCCTAATAGTCTGGAAAATACGGTATTTGTTTGGTGGATAAGCCCCTTGAGATGTCTCACCATTTCGTTTTTCGAGGGGGTCCTCATTAAATACAACGATAAAAGACAGATACAATAGGGCAGACAGTAGAATGCGTAAATTCAAATAAGTATCAGAACAACAAAATCAACACAAGCACACACACACTTGACTGTTTGACACATGATAAAACAAATTCGAGAGAAAAAAAAACTAAAAAACTAAAACAGAGTTCAAAAATAGTCACAAACAAAATGATCAAAAAAACAATTACATGGGTTCTGTAAATATTGAACCAGAGCATTTTTAAATGAAGGGACAGAAGAAAAAGAATTCTATTAAATAAATTAGAAAATGTTAGGCCAAAACTGCAAACGAGATCACACAATTATTTTAGTTTAAACTGTTTCAGAATCTCGTCTTGTTTTGGTTTCGTGGACCTACTCTCGTGTTTCGTCTTGTGGAAATTGTGTCTCTTCCCATCCTTACGAACTTGATTAATGTTTTTTAAATCAAATTATAATTCCTGGGGTAGTTTTAAGTGGTCATACTTTTACTTCTACTTATTATAATATATGCTGTAATATGTATGAAGTAACAGTACTCTTACTTAAGTAAAAGTAAAAGTGAGTCTATAGTGACAGAAGTTTTATGTTAATCAAATGAAACAGAAAACGCAGACCAAAGTTCAAATGTAAGGAGCAGAAACTTAAAAGTGAAAATATGCATAGCACACTCAGATGGCCGATATCTAAAAGTTTTTTTTTAATTTTTGTTTTTAAATCACATTTTGTCAAAAATCCTTCATCAGATCATTTTTCTTGCTTTGGATCATATTATACCAGTCCAGTAAACTGATATCTAAAGCAAGAAAAATGATCTGATGAAGGATTTTTGCTGAAACATTATAAAACAAAAAACAAAACAAAAAAAAAACCCTTTGGATATCAGCCATGTGAGTGTGCTATGCATATTTTCACTTTTCACATTTTTTCACTCAGAAGTTTAATTTTATGTTGACAGTATGAAATGATTTGAACATTTGTGATTTAATTTGTCTCATTTGTGCGAGTATCATTTGAAAAAAAAAAAAGATTATTATTAGAAACATACAATTTTTTGTTCTGCCAGTTACAAAAATGAGATGGACTTACTTGAGTAGTAGTTTTCTCAAATATTTCTATACTCTTACTTTTAGACATTTCCTGGACCACTATTTCATACTACTTTACTTGAGTACAATATTTCGCTGATGTACCATCTAGCTTTGTGCTCGTCTCTATTGCATGTATGTTTTTCCCCTGATAAAACTCTTGTGTTTGTGTTTTGTTTTTGCAGAGCCTGGGCTGTCTGGTGTGGCAGGACGCCCCCCACAGGGTGATGGTGGTAACGCCTCAGGGACACAGCGAAGTCAAGAGGTTCTGGAAACGACAAAGGTCCAACACGTAGCACTAAACCAATGTCTCAAAATATTCACTTTTTTCTATGTCAAATGTTTTTTATTAAATATGTTAAATATGAAACTCTGTGTTTTGTTTGTTTCTTGTTGTAAATGTGTTCATGACTTCTGAAACAAGTTATTATTAATTTAATTTAAAAGACAAATGGAATATGAGGAAGGAAGTACAAACTGAGTTATGGAAAATGTCTCTTCTTGATTGAGACCAGGGGAACCAAAAAGGGGCCCAGGGGCTAAACTTGGCCCTTCACATGGCCCCCACATGCCAAACTCTGGAAGATTCTAGCCAAGGGAGCAACATTTACATGGAAACAAGCAGAGGAGGTCCTCTTCCAGGCCGGGCAAGACTCAAGTTTATGGAGATGCAAGCCCGCTCAAAGTAAGGACGCATGTTTTTCAGTTTAATAAATGCAACCAATGTAAAAAAAAAAAAAATGTGGCTTTAAACTTTTAAAATGTAAACGTATTCAGTTTTTTCTTTTGTTCAATGTAGACTTGGCAAGACGTGAAATTATTTTAGATAAATCCCATCTATCACCATCAGGTCTAAAGGCTTTGGAGCACTGTTGGTCACTGTCCATGGTGCTAAATATCAATATTTCAATTTCCCTGAAGTTACTGTCACATTTTAATTTTGTACATAATAATGTAATAATAGTTTTTGTTGAGCTGACTTATCATAGCGTTTTCATTAATTTACAAATCACATCAGACAGCATCTCAAATTCAGCAAACACAGGTAACCAGTCGTCCCTTTTTACCCGGGACAGTCCCAGTTTTGAGCTCTGTGTCCCCTGTCCCAGCAGATTTGTTCCAATTTTATACAAGAAATGTCCCAGGTGTCCCAATTTTTGACCAATTTGATCCCTGCTCACAGTAAAGAGAGGCATAAACTGTCATTTGTTCAGGTAAAATACAGAAAAGCTGCTTAAAAATGACCAAAACACAAAGAAAATGTGATCATACTGATTCAGTGCATAATAATTTACCTTAAATACGCACTCGTGTCACAATTTTATTATTACCAACCAGCCCAAATCAGGGATGTCCCAGTTTTTGATTTTGAAATTCTGGTCACCCTTACAGCTGCCAAATATATGGTAATATGCCGTTGGAAATCAGTTCAACCTCTGACTGAGCGAGAATGGCTCTTATCTTACACAGAAATCGTTCAACTGGAGCTTTCTACTGCTCAAACGCATGGAGCAAAAGCCAAAAACGTCTTGCTGGTTCGATCTACTGACCAAATTGAGATCTAAATGTATTATATAGTTCTTACTTGGAGACCTTTATTATAGTACAAGTTCACAGAATGTACACAATATTTATACTCTTAGGTAATTTTTTTATATATGGTACATAATAAGCATGTATAGTGCAATTTCTGCTAATGTTTTTTGATGAAAGGAATTTAAACTTTGACGTTCTTTTTTTAATCTTTTTTTAATGTATGTATGCGTGTGTGTGAATGTATGTTTAGGTATGTAAATGTGTGTATGTACATATATATATTGTATTATGTGTATATGTGTGTGTTCTACATATATATTTGGGGTCAGCCCTATGTTCTCTCAGCTCTATGTTCCCTTATTTCTAAGATTTTTCTCAAAATTAAACTCTTAAGTCAAGCCATTTTTATTTTTATACCATATTTAAAGGGACAATTCAGAGTAATTTCAACCTAGGATCTTTTGCACCATGACCTCTGCATTACATCTGTATTCAACTGTTGCTGGAGAATAGGTTGGGTGTAATTCATGACCAAATTGGGAGAAATGGGGATAAATTCTGACGCACATAGGCACGCTCCCATGTATTTATGTTTATGTATGTATGTGTGTATACATATATTTTCTGTATATGCCCATTGAAAAGGAGTTTCAGGGTGGGAGGTGTGGGGTTTAAAAGTAAAAGGGAGAAAAATGCAATGCCAACCAGAACCTGAATAACAATTTGATTACAAAAAAAAAAAAAAAGAAATTCTGGTCACATTAAGTAAAAGAGTGGACTAATTTGGCTCCATACATCATTGCATTTCATTTAATATTCATTTTCATACTTTACATAAAAGATGATATAGTAAAATTTTTAACATTTGTAAGTGATATAAAGCCTATAAAATAAAAGATTTGTAAAATAAATAGTCGTTGACAGCCCAGAGTGTGGGGCAGACCCGCGGCACGCCCACTGTGATGCTGATGTGATGCTAACAGTTAGCCGCCTGCTACACCCACAACATACCGCTAGTTTGCATCATGTGAACCGCGGACTTTTTTTATTTTTAACCTTTTAACATCAAAAATTTCCAGATAATTTCATTTCGATTTAACACAACCCAACACGGAGCTCCGGTGTCCCATCCTCCGCGGGCCGTAGATGGAGCCGGGGACTGGCGTGGACGGCTCCGCGGGCTCGGGGTGCGCTCGTGCGGCCGGCGTGCGGGAGGAGACCCCGGGGGAAGAGGCGAAGGGCGGAGAGGGGAGCGCCGCGATGTCCAAGCGGAGAGGAGAGGACGGCCCCGCGGCGGACGAGGCGAGGGAGGCCGGGGAGGAGGATGGAGAGACCCGGGGGAAGGCGGAGGAGGAGGGGAAATACGAGGAGGAGCTGGACCCGAGAATACAGGCACGATGGGGTCATTATTTTTATGATTGGACAGTTGTTTACTCTTTAAATTGGAATAAACAATAGATAAACAAAGCTAACACGTGCTAATAGGGGGTTTATATCAGAATTATGGTAAAAATAATACATTTTTAAAGTGCATATTAATGCTTTGCACGTTTAATGACTTGGTTTGGTGAGATAGTACATGTAGTCAATATTTATTATAGTTTTACATTAGTTAAATGGTTTGTGAAAAGAAAAGTTTGGGTGACCAGATGTCCCCATTTACCCGGGACAGTCTCAACTTTGAGCCCTGTGTCCCCTGTCCCAGCAGATTGATCAAAAAACATTAATTTGTCACAGTTTTATACAAGAAATGTCCCTATTTTTGACCAGTCTGATCCCTGCCAACAGTAAAGAGAGGCATACATTGTTTTTGTTTCGTTAAAATACAGAAAAGCGGCTTAAAATGACAAAAACACAAAGAAAATGTGACTATACTGACTCACATAGTGCAAAACAATTTTCCTAACATACTCGAATCACTATTTTATTATTACCAATCACCTCAAACTGAGAGTGTCCCAGTTTTTGGTTTTGATATTCTAGTCACCCGAACATTAGTTAAATGGTTTGTGGAGAAAAAAAAAAAGTTCAAGAGAAAAGTACAAACACTGCAAAAAAGCTTGGCTAAAATTTAAGATATAAACACTTAAATCTATCAGAAAATGACTTAAAAGTAGTGAAATGATCTACCCATGCAACAAGTTAATTTTACTTGGCAAGTTATCTTAAAATAAACAATCTCTAGACTATTTATTTTATTTTAGTTATTCAATATTTTACCAAGTAAGTCAGAGCACCTTCTTATTTACAATGACGACCTGGCCGAGAGGCAGAATAAAAGAAAAGCATAAACAGAAAACACTCACACATAAACCATAACACCAAACAGTGAATAGAAATATAAGACAGTGAAACATTTGCAGATTAAACATATAAAAGTGTTAAAAGCATGTGCAATTATCCTGTGAAATACTCTGGATGGTGTTTTTAAAAGTCAACAGAGGTAAGAAGGAGTAGAATTAAGCAGCTTCAGAACTAGTAAGTAGATAATAAATCTGAAAACAAAATGAATAACCTGACATAAGTTTTAAAATCTTGGCCAGATCAGAGAAATTTGCAGTGAATATACAGGAATTGTTGATTGAAACTAAGCTAAATGGAGGCACAGCTCTGTCTGAAGCTCTGTTACTCAAGTTAGACTTTAATCTGAGCTTTGTTTTAACACAATCTGACCAGAAAAAACTGAATTAGCATGAACTACAGCTTTTTTTGTTGAAAATCAAACTCCTAAACACAATCAGGGAGGCTCATATTGATGTACCTGACAACAGTGTTTGCTAATGTGTGTATTTTAATTTATGAATATTTTTAAGGGTGCATATTATTCAAAATTGACTTTTCTGAGCTTGTAAACGTTTTATAATGACGTTCGCTTATCATTAGCTGACTCAAAGTAGTATTTCCACTGAGTCAAGCATGTAGGAGTGATTCTGAGTCTTGAGCGCCCACATCGCTGTTCTTGGATTTAATTAGAAAAATTAAGATCAAATCAGACGAAATAGGTTCAGACATGTTCAGTACATTCTTAAAAAAATAAAACACCTACGTAAAATTTTGCTGCTTGCTGCTGTAGTGAAAGTTCTGCAGTTGTGAACAGGAAGTCAAATGAGCTGTTTCTATTACTAAGCTGTTTTAGATCAATATTGCATTTGTCAGTGGAAAAAAAATCAACATTATGTCCGACTAATTACCAGAAACTTTATAATATGTCCTGTTTAAGTGTTATCCGGAATTTCCACTCTTGAGCTGATTGTTTCTCATTTAAAACCAACTTATGGCCCATTCAGATGTTGGTTCAGTGTATGAAATGAAACTGCTGTTGCTTTGAAAGTGGTCACATGACTTTGGTTTCAGAATGAGTACAAGGAGCACTTTCGATATGACTGTTAATGTTGCCGATGGTGATTCAATTTTAAACTCTTAACGCGGTGTCAAAATTCAATCACTGTCCTTGTGCCATCTGGAGATTCTGCTGCAAGGCTGTGACAAAGAATCTGCAGGGTTGCCAGATTTTCAGAGAGGAACAAGCAAGCAGCCCCTTGAGAAACAGCTCAAACAGGAAAAAAAAAAAAAAGTGATGTGTCACTGCTGAATGTTTGCAGATTACATTTAGGATTTTTTTTTGTCTAGTTAAAGGTGCACTGTGTAACTTTTTGGTTGGGGATGGGTCACCTGCTTGTTTTTACTGTATGGAGATGTCATTGCTCTGCCTGGAATGTTCCACAGTATGACATTAAACAGCTCTACCTTATATTTATTCAGTTACAGGTGGTTTTCTAGCTCAAAAATACCTAGAAAAACAGACATACTTGCCACAGATCTGACCTGTAACTTGGTCTGGTTTGGTCTCCATGAAGATGGCAAAGGAGAAATTCAATGAACTGAACAAAAGTTTGTTTTGTTTTTGGTTGAATACATTTCGCAGCTCACCCAAGCTGCTTCTTCAGTGCTGGTCAGATGCTGGTGGACACTAGGGCTGGTATCATTAAGAAGTTGCTGATACGATACATATCTCGATACAGTGAGCTTATGATTCGATATGACTCAATATGATATATTTCAAATTGATTCAATATGATTCAATAAAATTAAAGGCTAAATCATGGCTGTGACACTAAAAGTCTTTGTTAAACCACTTCTTGTGCAAAGTTCACATGAAACACACTAATTTTAATAATCAAAACTGTGAAAATGTGAAATGTGTCACATAAACGAGTTTCCTTCCTCTAAACAAACAACAAAACTGCAGTGCTGTAACAAAATAACGTAGTAAAATACACCAAAAAATACTCTTGGCGATATATCAATACAGCAGTCCCTGATATCGATCACTGTATCATCACATAAAACGATACGATATATTGATATTTCAATAGTTTTGCACACCCCTAGTAGACACTGATTTATATCTACCTGAGGGGTGGAGTTAAGTACACTGAAACTACTCTGGAACAGTGTAGTTAGCTCCCTCTTCAGGCAGTGTCCACCAGCGTCTGACCAAAACTGAAGAAGTAACTTGGATGAGCTACAAAACATATTTGACCAAAAAAAAAAAAAGTACTTTTGTTCAGTTGACAAATTGAATTTCTCCTTTGCCATGGATTCTACCTGGACGTCTGAGGGATTTTACCTCCATGAAGATATGAAGCTTTAATACCATACTGTGAAACATTTCCAGACAAAGCAATAACATCTCCATGGAGAAAAGCATCTGACCGACCCTCCACCAGAAAATTTACACTATCCACCTTTAACTTTAACACATTTTACACCTTTAAGATAAGAGATGACTGGGTGTATTCACAAAGAACTGACCTCTAACACTCTGTAACTCTCCTCTCTGCTGCTGTTTGTAGGAGGAGCTGGAGCACTTGAACCAGGCCAGTGAAGAGATCAACAAACTGGAGCTGCAGCTGGACGTGAGCTACTTTACTGAAATATATGAATCTTTATTTATAGAGCCCCTTAGAACACACAAGGTGACCAAAGTACTAAAATCAACACAGTATCAAACATTAAACAATGTAATAAAACAAAGTGCGCAAAGTGTCACTGCATTACTGAGTTTTGAAAGCCAGTTTGAATATGTTTTTTTTTTTTTAAATCAAGATGTTTTTATTGTTTTCAAATTGTCAAATATACATATACAACTCACAGATGTTACATTTCTGCAGAGCTGGAATGAAACTAAAACATCCAAAATGCGAGTCCCCCACCAGAACAGGTCCACATGAGAAATGGCAGCTGCAAAAATAATAATAGTAGAAAAAAAGTACAAAAATAAAGAAACTGCATGGGTAGAATATTTACACCAGGTTCTGTATTTATTCACATGTAACTATGCCCCAGCCTGTTCTTTCTAAAAAGCTGAATACAACTGTAGGAAACGGAAATGTTTTCTCAAATGCACTAATATTTTGCTTCAATGAACATCATTTTTTTCTAGCTTTAGACACGACATGACACCACTATAAATGTGAAGGAGGGTTAATGTCCTTCCACATGAATAAATGACTTAGTAAGTAATGTAAAGAATATTTTTTTGTAGCACTAAAATGTACATGATCCTCCAAAACACCAAAAAGCTCCAGTACAGGGTTTGGTTCCAGCCTTCCAGAGTGTTAAAAATGTTGCTCCAGTAGGTTTTTCAGGCATGAGTGAATAGATAAGTTTAGAGCCTGGATTTGAAGAGGCCAAAGTCTGTGATAGTGAGTATATATATTGGTGTGAAGTTTGTTCCATATATCGCTCAAGTGTCAAGGTACAGTCAATTTAGTGTGTGAATATGACTGTCACTTTTACTTTATTCTTATTGTAGTATTTCTGATGTAAAATGAAGGATGGAAATGAGCTTACACATCACAATATAATATAATCACAAAGAGAAAAAAATAAAATTGTATAATAAATTCAATATAAGTAGCAAAAATAACAAATATAATAAAAAAGAGACTGGTGTCCAATAAGGCATAATATATATAGACATAGGGTTATCTGTACAAGCTGTAGGAGCCTGTTCCTTTATACTGATGACTTGTTGTGTTGTATTGCTGCTGATGTTGTGTTGTTGCTGATGATGTTGTGTTGTTGCTGACGCGTTGTGTTGTTCTGTAGGATGCGCGCTCCAGCTACAGGAGGATCCTCACAGACTCGGCTCGGAGGCTGAACGCTCAGGGTTCTGCTCTGGGCGCCTGCATCGAGAAAGCACGACCGTACTACGAGGCCCGCAGACTCGCCAAAGAGGTCTCACACTGCACCTGTAACACTACTACACCTGTACTACACCTGTACTACGCCTGTACTTCATCTGTAGTACACCTGCACTATACAAGAACACTACTACACCTGTACTACACCTACTGTACTTCATCTGTACTACACAAGAACACTACTACACCTGCACTACACCTGCACTACACCTGCACCACACTTGTACTACACCTGTACCACACCTGTACTATGCCTGTACCACACCTGTACCGCACCGGTACCACACCTGTATTGCATCTGTACTGCCCCTGTATCACATCTGTACTACACCTGTACTACACGAGAACACTACAAAACAACATCTCACACTGCACCTGCATTATACGAGAACACTACTACACCTGTACTGCACCTGTACTACTTCTGTACTGCACTTGCACTGCACCTTTATTACACCTGTAGTTCACCTGTACTACACGAGAAAACTACTACACCTGTACTACACGTGTACTACACCTGTACTACACCTGCACTACACCTGTACTGCATGAGAAAACTACTACACCTGTACTACATGAGAAAACTACTAGACCTGTACTACACCTGTACTACACCTGTACTGCATGAGAAAACTACTACACCTGTACTTCACCTGTACTTCACCTGTACTGCACCCGTACCACACCTGTACTGCGCCTGTACTACGTGAGAACACTACTACACTTGTACTGCATCTATACTACACCTGTACTACACTAGAACACTACATACAGAAATATATTACCTCACCTTTTTCCATGTAATCATCATTTTATAATCACAGTACATCATTTACATTTTCAGTGGCACACATGCTGTTTATGTTTATAATGTGAACTTTATTAAACATGTCATAATGATGTTCCCTGATCGTACCATCGTCACTCATAAATAGTATTTTAATTGATTCATGCCTGAGTAATCCTTTAGTGTGCTGCATTTGAGACTTGAATGCTGTGAAATGTTTTCTGTATCTCCATCCTCTGCCCTGTAATTATGGTGTTCATTGAAAAATTCATTACATTGCATAATTAACATTTCTGTAAACACACCAGATCTAAATGTAAATGTAAAATAGTCTCTAGTTTACTACCAAACATAAAAAAAAACATAAAATTATCTATTTAAAATGTACATTTAACATAAAAAAACCTGATGATTTTATGTTGAATTAAATTATTTTATATAGGATGAAAAAACAACTCCTTTTACTTCTAGTCCATTTCACAGTGCAGTTCATTTTTAAAGCTTTAGGTACACACAAAAAAACATCATGACGCCGATTTAGTGCTATTTTACGTTCTAGAATAATATGATTTTGACTGTAAAATCGAAATAATATCCTTAATAAACCAATGTACCTTTCTGTATACAAATAATAAGGAAGAGATGAAGTGGTTTGAGGAACACGCTGCTGTCCGTGGTGCTGATTCCAGAACATGAGAATTTATGTATGACACCTCTCCTCCCCTCCGCGATGGCCCAGCTGTTTGACCATTTAAAGATTTGACATTTGGGAGCACGGTGCTTAATGTTCAGCAGTTAATTTCCGCTAAACAGAAAATAATAACTGATGTATTGTTTTGTGCAGCCTGGCTTTTTTTGTGAAATATTATACGCATTGATGTGGAAATTCAGCATCTGTTCGGTTGTTGGAAAAGTACATTTAGCGTCTCTTTTCAGTGTGGTTATATGAGCAGTGTTGGGCAGTATCCAGCGAGAAAGTGAGATATTTTTGTTTTGTTTTATAAATCTGACACTTTAGAATATGGAAATTAAGTGATTGGATTACAGTACAGGCCCTAAATCCAGGTATCATTTGTTTATTCATTTTTCAATATAAAACCAAAAATAAGAAAACGAAATAACAACAGTTTTCTTCATTATTTGTCTCTAAAACCAAAATGAAAAAACTGATAATTTGTTTTTTTCAGTTTTCAATTTTGTGTTTAAATGAAAAATGGAAAAAAACAGATCACGACCATTTCCCGTTTCCGTGACTGAAACTGCGATGCCAGACTGAACCAGAACTAAACCAGGTCCGGGACCAGACTGGGACTGAGACCAAGACTTATACTGGGACCAGACCAGGACGGAGACCGGGACCAGATTGGGACGAGACCGGGACCAGGACCAGACCAGACCCAGACCCAGACCAGGACCAGACTGGGACTGAGACTGGGACCAGACCAGAACTGAGACCAGGACAGAGACCGGGACCAGACCAGGACTGAGACCGGGACCAGACCAGGACTGAGACCGGGACCAGACCAGGACTGAGACCAGGACAGAGACCGGGACTGAGACTGGGACTGAGACCAGGAACAGGACCAGGACTGAGACCAGGACTGAGGCCGGGACCAGACTGGGACCAGACCAGGACCAGACCAGACTGAGACTGGGACCAGACCGGGACTGAGACTGGGACCAGACCAGAACAGAGACCAGGACTGAGACCAGGACCAGACCAGGACCAGCTCGGGACTGAGACCAGGACCAGATCGGGACTGAGACTGGAACTGAGACTGGGACCAGACCTGGACCTGACCAGGAGTGAGACAGGGACTGAGACCAGGACTGAAAACGGTTTAGTCCTAGTTTAGTCCTGTTTTAGTCCTGGTTTAGTCAGTTTTGCGGCGCAAATGTCTGCCATCGCAGTTTAAGTCACGTTTTTTCCGTTTTTTCCATTATTCATTTAAACACAAAATCAAAAACTGAAAAAAAAAAAAAAAAAAAACTGAGAATAGTTAACTGTTTTTTAATTTTGGTTTTGGAGACAAATAATGAAGAAAATAGTTGTTTTTTTCCTTTTCTTATTTTTGGTTTTATATTGAAAAACAAATGAACCAATGACACACGGATTGCTCTAGTGACTTTTAGTGAAGTTAGTTAATTAAGGCAACACCGTGTTTTGATGAGAGACACAGATCAACTGTGAACCAAATCCAGTACAGTTTGGTTCATGAATCACCTTTGCTGTTTTTTAATATCAGGCTAAATCAGTGAATGTTTAATAAATGGGAAGATTTCATGCTTTTTAACTTCGTTCGTGAGCTGTTATGTTTCCTTTTTAGTCCAGGAGCCAGACCCCTCCTCTGCGATTATTTTTCTACCTTTTCTTTTAACTATTATTTTTATTATTACACACCTCGGAACATTGTGAGTTCAGGGTCTTTTGTTTCAAGCCCAGTCTCAGCCCTGTTCTGTCTCAGGACCTGCAAAACCCCTTTTGTGGGACCCACCTTGTGTGAAATAATATGAATCTGTTAAAAGTGAATCTATAGTCACATACAGTGTCATATAGTCGGGAAATTTGGAACAAAGAATTCTGACATGATAAGGAATTCAACAATATAACCTTACAGCGGTTTATGTATTTCTGTTTACAGTTATTAGACCATTTATAGAAGTAAATATCAAAAAATTACATTCTCAAGCACAAATCCTCTCCACAAACTGACTGATTGCGAAACATGGAATTACAGTTTCATTTGTAAATAGAAAACTTTTCCAATTTGTCATCCTCAAATAAAGCCCAAGATGAGCTCTGTGTCTCCAGCGGATCATCTGCTATAGCAGAAATAATGTTTATTTTAGTAATTTATAGTGAACAGTAGGAATGTAACGATATTCAAATTTCTCTGTACAATATTTTCCCGATATCTCACGGCATTATATTTATTGCGATATTTTGTATAGGCAAAAAAAAAATTGTGAATATGCTACTTTCCTTTAAAAATATCTTGACAAGACTTTGTTTCAGTCCAATCTGCACAGTGAAATAACTTTGAAATCTTAACTTTTTGGTTTATGACAGAACCAGAGCAAAGGATCATGGTCTATGTAGTTCCCTCTGTTTCTTTTAGCTATTGCTGCAACACAACAATGAATTTAAACAAAGACACTTGAGATTCAATATACTGTGATGGTCCACGATATTATATATTATTGAGAGATTTTTGATAATACGATATCATGATATTTTGGTTATTGTTACATCACTAGTAACCAGTGATCTATTTACTTTTGAAAGTAGTTGTAATTGGTTGGTTTAACTATGACTTAGAGCAAGGGTGTCAAACTCATTTTGTTCCGGGGGCCGTATCCAACCTACTTTGATCCCAAAGGGGCCGGATCAGAAAACTCATGTCATATAAACCACAAAAATAACAATAAGTTCAAATATTTGTGCAGAGAAACACAAATCTATTACAGAAATCTTTTTTAATTGGTGAATTCTTTCTTTTACAAAAATATTATAATATTATGAACAACCTGAAACTTTAAGAAAAATGCAATTTCAACACAATGTTTTAACATTAACTTGTTTGTAAATAGGAATAAGTCGATTTTTCTTGGAAAATCCTGCACTCGGCTCCACTTTTCTCATTTTTGACATTTTTCTGATGAGTGTGTCACGGTCAACAGTCAAAACGATCGTCCTTTAAGAGCGTTTGGAAAGAGACAAGTCTTCATTTGTGCTGCTCTGGTGGGAGGGGCCACGTACAGAGACGCTGGAGACGCTGCTGTGATAAACACTGCAGAAAATTACCAATATTTTAATAGAGAATATAATTAAAATATTTGAGTACAAAATCAGGCGAGGGCCAGATTAAAGGTCTTGGAGGGCCGGATCCAGCCCCCGGGCCGTATGTTTGACACTCCTGGTTTAGAGCATCCACATTTACAGAGGTGTTAGCAGTAAAACTTACAACATATCCAAATAATCCAAATTCATTTTACAGATGATGACTTGGACCACAGACATAGCGTATGTCTTTAAGCTGCATACATTAGTGGAATCGGACAATAAAATAAATACTGTATGTTCTAATTTTCAATATCAAAGGCCCACATTGTGTTATTTTCTGATCTATGTTATAATGTTATTTATTTCCTCACCAAAACACGTTACTTTTAGAAGGCGTAATATTTCAATAATATAAGTCTGGCCAACAGTGTCCACCAAACACATTGTCAGTGTTATTTTCAAC